TAAATATGCTCAGCAAAAGGATTTTACAATTTTCAGGCCTTGTGAAATTTATTTAAAAAAAAAACCAAGAAAGGAAGCTGACTTCAAAAACTCGTAGTGTGTATGCCCTTGCAGTTACCCAAAGGATCATAAATAAGTCATAGATGCAATAATATCAATTTGTAAAGCTTGTTTTGGTTGTTATTAACATAAAATAATTATCTATGTTTTATATAAAAATGTTGACAAATCAATGCCTTAAAAAACGCATAACTTAGCCAAAAAGGCATTAATTTTAATTCTGAAAGCTGTCCTATGCTAGGTTTTATTAGAATATTAAATCTGCATACTCAGGATCAAATTTTAACTATTTTAAAATTTTGACAATTTTTACAATTTTAATCTTATCTTTTTTTGACGAAAAAAAAATGGAAAAAATTTCGAAAACAAAAATATTAACCGGACATTGCTAGATCGATTCTGCTGTTTATGCTGATCAAGAATGTATATGATTTACAGGGTCGGAAATGACTCCTTCACTTAGTTTTTAGCTTCTGACTGAAACTATAATACCAATCTTTGAGGCGATAATTATCTATATTTTTATATGAAAATGTTGTCAAATCAATGCCTTAAAAAACGCATAACTTAGCCAAAAAAAAGCTTTAATTTTAATTCTGAAAGCTGTTCCGTGCTAGTTTTTAATAGAATATTAAATATGCATACTCAGTTTAAAATTTTAAATATTTTAAAATTTTGCCAGTTTTTACAACTTTAATCTTATCTTTTTTTGACAAAAAAAAAATGGAAAAAATTTCGAAAACAAAAATTTTAACCGGACTTGGCTAGATCGATTCAGCTCTTAATGCTGATCAAGAATATATATGATTTATAGGGTTGGAAATGACTCCTTCGCTTAGTTTTTAACTTCTGACTGAAATTATAAGATGAAACGGAATAAATAAATATTGTAAAGTAAAGCCAGTTTATATTAATTTATTTTTTACAGGGGCTTACTTAACTATGCATCTTACCTTTCTCAAGAAAACCCTTTTCTCATCCCTCGTTCTCGAATTTTAATTCTTTGTTATAAAATTTGTGGTTTAATTCATATGTTTTAAAGATATTTATGAGCCCGGGGGCCCAACATCAAGCCCCGGCGACCTTTCCGCATACATGACGTCCAGGCGACTTCCGTTTCCGCTCTGACTGCGACATGGGAAAACTTTTAGCATTTATCGTATGAATTTCTGCCGCCAGCTCTATGCTTTCGTTTTATTTTATTTTTCTTTTATTCCAAAAGAAATAAATTCAAATGCCTGCATCATAGTCCTTTTGTTTTACTTAACCCTTTTGCTTTCTATGAACTTTGAGCCGGGCTCTTTTATTGGAATGCATTTGGCAAAGACATTTTTCGTGTTTCTGTTAAAAGTTCTTCTGTCCTGAGTCAAGATATTTTGCAGGACGTTTTGCTTTAAATTTATTACTTGTAATCTCCTTAGATTTTTCATATTAAATCTCAAAATCCAGGGCTCCAAGGGCTCCAAGGGCTCCAGTTAAGCTGACTGACTTGGCCTGAGAGGCCACAACAATTACGCTTTTAACTGCAGCTGAGTGTGCAGTTTTGACATTTTAAGTAGGCATTGCATTGCCATGAAAGAGCTGCCTGGAACAGCATAACAGCTTCTGTTGTTTGTTTTGTGATTTCCCTTGTTATTGTTGTTGGCCTTACAATTACGATCACACACAGTTGTTGCTTAGTGTTCCTATTCCTATTCCTATTCCTATACCCATTATCCCTCGGTCCCCTTGTGTTCGTGCTGAAATAGAGCCATGCGATGACGACGACGACGACTCTCGGGCATAATAGGCAAACACAGTGCGACTAAAAAGTATGCGAGCACTCACAGACTTTTGCTCTCTGGCTCTTGCTTTGTGCTCATGTTTGCATTTGCTGGCTGGGTAATTGCGGCAACGCCTTTTTCTGGCACAATTGTGACATTTTCACAAGTGAATGCAGACTAAGTTAGTACACTGTATTACAAAAGCAGTAAACAGTAGTGTGACCAATGTGATAGATTAGTCAACAGTGTGACCTTGCTTATGCAGGACATGAAGCATAACTGTACTACAAACAGGATATGAAATATAAATAATTATTTAACCTCATCGTTTTTAGTATATGTAAACTATTTCTTAGTTTATAAACCTTTACCAAAAGTAAAAAAAAAACTACAGGTAGGTGCCTCCATCAGATCCTTCTGTCACCGCCAGATTATGGTCCTTTAAGCCACTTGTTTTACCCCTTTTTAGTAAGCAAACGGATGTCGACTCGCCTTTTGTGTACTTGTGTAAGCGGTCTGGTGCAATGTTCGCCTTTTTTCTCTGCTTTGTTTGTATTGTTAATTGTTGGCGCGTGCTTTCTATTCATTTGTTAGTCCGGCTTAAATTAATAAAATAATTAAATAATTATAATAATTTATTGTTATTCAGCGTGCCACTGGTGCTGGGGGGCGCCGTTTCTGTTTGTTGTTTATGCTTGTGCGACGGGCTAATTTTAAATTTATGATTTGTGGGCTTTGTTCACGCTCCTCCGCAGGCACATAAAATGTACTCTATTCTATATGCTATGTTATATAATATATTTATTTAAGTACGCACATATATATATACACACGTCCTGCAATTCTTCAAAGGCAGCTCTTGTGCGACTTTTAGACAGTTTTATGGCCAGCATCATTTCGTCTTTTGAGCTCTGTTTTGTTGTTTTTTTTGCGCTCCAAACTCACCCCGTATGCAGTCGCCTGGTGACTTATTGGCGTAAAAGTTTTAGAGCCTTTTGGCCGGCAGTAAAGCCAAAGGCCAGTCAGCCAGCACAGCACAGCACAGTTTTCCAATGGCTTACTGTATTGCACCCAAATGTCTGCAATAAAATATTTTACAATCGTGCATCTTGCGAGGCGTTCAGATTTCAACACAAAACACAGAGATATATCGAAGAGAGATGAGGCTTTTTCTTTTTCCACAAAGCGATTGGATATCCATTTGTCTGGAACTGTTGAAATGAGGAGGAAATGTATTTCAAATGCTAAAACAATTTCCAAGATTTATGTATAACCAAAATGTGGTTTTAAATATACTTCATTATATAGAAATCTACATACTGAATACATTATATTAAAAGAATATCATAAATATTACTGGTTCTATTTTCTTTTTCCTGTTTTCCTTTAAAATCCAAAACGATAACTTGCTTTAAGGCTCTACTTTAAATATTACGCATACGCCGTGTTGTTAATAAATTACCCAAATTATAGAGGCAAAGCCGTCAGGCGCAGTGGCCTCAAAAGTGAGCTACCATCATGGCCGGGAAGAAGAAGGCAAAAGCCTGGTTAAAACCAAGCCAGAGAACCCTTAACTGGCGACAGCTGACTGAGTGGGGCAAGGATGTTGGGGTGGTACGTAGAAGCTCCTAGAAGTGGCTGCCGTTGATGGCGACGTCGGCATCTTAATAAATTTTCATGCGCAACACTTTGACGTTATTAATACGTTTGGGGCTTGGAGAGTGCCATGCACGCACCTAAAACCGCTAACCAAATGACGGCGAATTTTGCTTAATTACACGGCTTATCCACAGCAGACACCCGAGGAGTGCGGTTTGGGGGCAAAAAACAAGGCGAGCCACTCGTTCGTTTGTTGTGAAAATTAATTTCAAAAGACGAAATTTAGGCCTTTACGTTTAAGATATTTCTGCACATTTATATGCATAAAATTCGATTGCAATTTATCGGTGGAGCTTAATTAAATACAAGGAAATTCCTTCCTGCCAGGAATGCTCATTAAAATGCGTAGAGACAAGTTTAACTAAATGTTAATGAAGTAGGGCCAAAAGCCATCGGTTCGCCGCTTCTAAGCATCTAATTCAGTGGCTAATTTCCTAGACATATTACGACAGGTTTCCGCCTGTCTGTCTGCCATTTCCCAGAAATTTCAATACCTCGAGAAAAAAGAAGGGAACTCACTTTGCACCTTATCATGTCTAACTGCCAAATTGCCAAAGGTTGTTAGGCACGCAGGATCTAAGGTTACACTAGAGGGAATACATACTTGTGAAGGACGGAATTTGAATTTAATTTAATTTAGTTAGAGAGGCTGACTCTTAAACTGAACAAGCTAATGTAATATAATATATAAGTCCAAGTTTTAATATAGATTTAAACTTTATAACTTAATTTTTCAGGTTAATAAGGATCTGAATATGGAAAATATTCAATGCAAATAATATATCTCTCAGTGCCTTTCTAAATTGACTTGGCATTGAGGCATTGATGAGACACCCCAGCCTCCATCGATGTTAGCAAATAATCTTTGTGCTCTGGCATATTCTCACTGTCAACGGAATAATCAGCCAGTCGGGCGTCTGACATGTTAAGTCACTTTGTCGTCAGGACACACATCCTCCCAACTTCCCCATTCCAAACCCTAATCACCCGGCACACTCCCCCCATTTGGCTTGGCAAATTACATGTCTCGGATTTGAATGCTTCGGTTATTTCCCTCTGTTTTTGTCCTGTTTTTGTTGTGTTTTGTCTTGTGGCATTAGTTTAAATTAATATCAGGACAAGGTATGGCGTATGGCAGCCCACCCGCATTCACAATCTCATTGGGATCCTTGTCTTTTCCTCTTTTGGGGGCTTCACTTATTTGGCTTTGGGTTAACTAAACGACGGGAGGTTGTGTGTGTTTGTGTGTGTGTTGTGGCAATAACCTGAATTAAAATGTTTTGCCAGATAAACATTAATTGTTGACTAAACCAGGACAATTTGTGCACCACCTGAGGCTGAGCTCTAAGCTTAGGAGGGGAAAAAGATCCTTGAAGGGGGGCACAGGAGGAGGGAAAGCTGCCGAAAAGGTAAACATGCTGATTAGTTAAGTTAAAGACTTGTGGATTTTTGTGGTGTCCAGGCTATCAGTAACTTATGGAGTTAGTAGATAAGAAGACTTAAACGCTATAGATAGACTGAATATTCATTTACTTAAAAAAGCATAATCTTTAATCTTAATTCTCACCATTAATGTGAAAGTGAAAGCTTACAAAGTTTATTAAAATAAGCAAAGGCTGCTTTGAGCTCAATAAGGCTTTACCAAATCTATGACAATTCCTCAAGCGTTATCAAAATCATCACAGACAAACTCATCCTGGACAAAATCCCCAAACGGTGTGGCTGGCTCCCCAAATCCCTGCTCTTCTCGCAGCCACTTGTCGTGGTCAATACCCTTCATTTCGCACACGACCTTGAAGATTAGCTCCTCCTTTTGGGCGTAGTAATCGGGTGAGTGGAAATTGGCATCCAGTTGATGCGATTCCAACTTGAGCTGCATCAGTTTCTCGTGTAGAATATGAAAGTCTTCGGTCTGGTTCTCACCCGTTTTCAAGGTGAGCAGGGCCAAGAATTCCGACAGGTGAGACTTCGGGAAAGAAGGTGTGAAAATTAAATGGTAGCCAGGACATCGAGAGGCTCTTATCCACTCACCACATTCCCGTGGCTCTTCAATAGGTTCTCGTCGTGGGCAAACTCCACCGCAAATTCCAAATTTCCTTCGTAAATTTCTTTCATGATGGTGAGATTCCAGTCCCAGGAGTGGAGACCTCGATGGTCTGAGGCAAACTGTCGTCGCTGTTGGAGAGACCCGCTTTCGTGCCTTCGGCACCATTTATTGGCCTGCAATTTGTTTACATTAAACACGGTGTGGTGATTCGATTCGCCTCACAATCTCCACCAGCTCAGCCCCCGCGGTTTGTTTATTTTCGCAGCCACTCATCGCTGTCGCCTAGACCCCGTCACTCTCTATATGTTTGTGGAAACTACAGAGCGTTTAGACACGTAATCACAACGGAAAAGCTTACTCAGCTTAGAAGGGTATAGTAAAAGTCAATTCTTTAGAATTTAATTAGAAATTGAGTAAAGAATTCAAGTGGGTTTGTGAACTATTTTTTACACAAATATTTCGTTTTTAAGAAAAGGTTATCCCCACATGAATTGAATTCTTCAATTAGAAAGAAACAAAGTCGAAGATTACATTAACTAAGCTTAAAAATTTATAAAAAATTAAGTAATTTTAATTTGGGAAGTTTTTTTTTATTTTTTTCTGAATAAATAATAATTATCCTTCAAGGATACATATCAAGCTTTCAAATTACCTTTCTATAAATTGATAAATAAAATTTAAAACTCCATTCCCAGGCAGCTTCTTTTGAAAGAAAACCGATATCCGTTTTTGCCGCTTAAAAGTCAACTTTGCTTTGACTCAATTTCACGTCTGTTGATTATTCCGAGTATTTTGAAATTCATTTGTCAGAGCTTCCCGAGAGTGTAAACAAATAAGAGTGAAGCGCGTTTTAGCTATAAATCAAAAACGAAATTGAACACACATGAGGAATATGTTTATCCGATAAAATGTTTTTCGATTCTGGATTCTTTCAAATCGACCAACGACCCAGGGAATGAATGCCAAACAAAAGCTGCCATAAGCGAGCATAAAAGTCATGCTGCTCCTGCTGCAGTGATAAAGTCAATAAAGCTGATATTCTGCCACGTGAAACACAAGCCGAGAAGTGTGTAAACAGAGTCGAAAAATAAAAAGAAATATCTCGAATGGCGCTTAGACAAATAAACATGCATGGCGGGGGAGTGCAGAGCAGAGGAAAAGCTGAAAAGTTGAAGGTTCACTTTGCCTCACTTCGCACTTTTCCCGTATATATTTTATGAAATTTTCCGTTTTGTTTATGTGACTTTTCGGACACCCCTAAAAGCTGAGACCGAGAGAGAGAAAAATCCTTGAAATTGACCCAAGAGACCCGAGGCTTAGGGGCCATGCTATCCTGCCGAAATGTGCATAACTTTTGGGAAAAAGCTTCGCAAATGCAAAGTAATAAAATTTAAGTGTCGAGTGTATGGGAAAACTATATTCCCAAATGGTATGAATTTAACAAGGATAAGTGGAATATTTTCCGGGCTACCTGAGAATGTTTTACAGAGATTTATTTATTTAGTTAATTTAATATATACTTTGGTGTGAATTGAATTTATTTCATAAATAAAATGAAGTTGAGCAGGAGAGAATAAGAAAGTAGTAAAAATAGTTATTTATATTTTTGAAACCAATAGAGTAAGTTTACATAAACAAGAACATTAATTATTAGATCCCACTTGTGTTTAAAATATTCCCATTTAATTAAGACCAAATTGCATAATGAAAAGAGTGCAATTTCCCCTGGCAGCCTTAAGATTTAATTACAAATAATTATCACAAAGATCTCACCAAAGTTAGATGCAGGAAATTTCAGTTAATTATGCAATTATATTTTGGCAAATCTGCGTATAAGGTAAATTTGTGCCTCAGGCATCCGAAATTGACAGAAGCGAACTCAATTGGCTGCCACCAAAGGTTTGTGTCTTTGCCGTGGGATGTCCTCCTGATGACGAGGGAGGAAATGAAATAAATCAAGGCTCATTAAGGGCCTTGAGGTAAACACGAGCTCACACACACAAACACCCAGAGACACATGTTATTTGTGTTTCCATGTGCGATTTTGGGTATTTCAGGACTCCCCTCCCCCCCCCGAAAGCAAAGTTGACAGTTGATGTCAACTTAATCATCGTCAAGGCAACATACATAGATTCTAAGGCGATGGCGCCTGCAGGAGTGAAATTTCAACTCCTTTTTTCGGGCGATAACAGGACATATTGCCAGCTCATTACGTCTGCGAGTGTGGGAGTGTCTGACAGACAGTGTCTTTCGTTAATCAGCCCTGCACTTATTCTGCGCCTTTGTCTCGGCCCTAATAATGGCAATATTACACAAGTAATTAGTCACGCATTTAATTATTATTTATGGCCTTTCTCCCAGTGTGTTCTCGTGTGTTAGTGTGGGGGAGTGTCATCTTCGTCTCGAAATTATCCTTTGGTGGCGTGCGTGTGCGTGTGCCTAACAATTATTACATGTAATTATCCACTTGAATGCTTGTCCTGAATCATCAGTAAATTTATATGACACATTGAGATAAAAGTTTGCGGAGGAGGTCTGTTTCGGATTGGCAAGCTATTAGCATATGCGTGATTGCGTAAGTAAATTATGCCAAAGTCGACCAATGTAATCTGCTTAGCATTATAATATATAACGTAGCCGTAAGTTAATGTCTTAAGTAAAATATGTACTGGTATGATACAGTAATATAACTATTTTTGGCTTAACAACTCAGTTAGATTTGGTTTATGGCATATAATTAAAGATATTTAATATTTTCTCACTATAAGAAATGTGTGTGTTCCTGTGTACTTTTACCAACAATTGATTAGAGTTGGAAAGAAATATGAACCAATTAATACCAAACCAATCCGAAAAAGATTCCATGCAGCAGCTGCTTTAGTCAATGGGGTTAAAGTTCAATCACGTACTTCACTCCTGACCAAATCTCAAGATGTTGAGGAGCCTGAGGCCGAAACTTTCATCGATTAAAAACTTTTCCGGGTTTGCCCAAGTATTATCAGCTAGCCCAAAAAAAAAATAACTTGTGACCGACAGCTGCCGGAATGGAAAAATGAGATTTGTTTGTTGCCTAATAATAATTGGAAGGCAGAGATTGGAGATTGTGAGATTGAAATGGCAAAAATCGAAATCCCAGAACAGAAATAATACGCCAGGATTCCCAGGAGTTGGAGTCGCCGAATCTTGGCCTGGCACGTCTCCCCTGTCAGCTGTTTATTGAGGCGTGATGTAATTAGCATAACACACCGACAAGGAAACAGCGGGGGACGGGGAAAAAAATAAACCAAGAAAAGACGGAGCAAAGACCCCGGCTTAGACGCAATTTGCGTAATGCTAAAACTTTTAATCACTCATACGCTCCGTGGCGCCACAGAGAAAGGCGATGGCGAAGGCGCAACCAAAAAAAAAAATCATTTTACGTCAGAGAAAATAGTCAACAAAGCGTTTTGGGGGCGAAATGAAATAAGTGTAAATACGACAAAAATTCACTGGCACACACACACACCAAACACACACTCACTCTGGGCCCCAAATGTTCACTCAAATATGTATGTATGCGCATCTGATTAAACACAAGTGTGTGTGTTTCTTATATGACTTTTATCCCCAGCTGAGAAATGCATTCCCCTCGGGTTTCGCTAAAAAAAGAAACCTAAATTATATATATATTCATCTGCTTTGCCTTAAGCTCGAGTTTAATTCCTGCTTTGACTTTTGCAATGAGCACTCAAAATGCCAAGTACAGTGGTTTACTTAAACAAATGCTGCTGTGAAATTACCGATTTTAAATTATAAATATTTTTTTTATATTTTTTTTCTGGCATTTTAACAAAGATATATTTGGTATATATGTATTTGTATAGGTTATATTTTGTATATATAATAAACCTGATAAATTTAATGAGTATATGAGTAACGAGTAGAAGTAATATATTATAGTAGTTATATCTTTTACAAAGTCTTATATACTTGATTTAAATTATAATTTATTGTTTGTGTTACAAGCTTAATAAATAATTCTCTGCTCTTTATAATTAATAAGCCACATAAAAAAATATTTGCATAAAGTCTTTAGGAATTTCTAAGTGACCCCACTGTCCCCTTTTATTAACTTCTTTTCCTCTAAACAGGGTATTATTTAATGAGGTATTTTGGATTTCATATTTATGTTATACATGTTCTTTTTATGTATTTTGAATTATAAAATAAAGTTCGAATAGCTACAGAATTTATAAATATTATATTATATTTCCTTTCCTATCTTTGCTTAAAAATGGATTATAAACTTAGTGTGGCTTACAAAAATCCTCTTCTTTTTTAATTTCAGTTTTCAAGAATATTAAGTTTAATTATTCAGTTTAAGAACTAGTACTTTCCATTAATTAAAATTTCGTTTGTCAGTGCCAAAAAGGGTATTTAAAGATTCAACAAGCCGCAGCCTGACTTTGCGTCTTTTCTTGTGTTTTTTTTTTTCTTCGCCAGTTCCTCAGTTCTTCAGATTACAATGTAAGCTGCGGCGCGTTAAAGTGCGACTGTGTGTGTGTGTGTGCTTATGCTTGCGGGTGGTGCTGTGGTTGTGTGTGTGTGTGTTTGTGTGCCGACCTATTTGCTTAAACACACTCTAACTGGCACTCTCAGCCCACTTGGCCACGCCCTCGGAGATTGACTCCCTTCCAAACCACCCCACCCCCGCAGAACCCAGTTCCTCTGTCCTCATAACACATTAGCGAAAGTGAAAGTGAAAGCCGCCATAATGACTGCCTCCAGTTGGTTTTCACTCGCTCCTCGTGTCTGGTTCGCTCGCCTGCATGCCCATACATTCATATTAGTTGAGCGAGACGCCAAAAGCGAGAGAAATGCAAATTGGTCAGATGGAGAATGATGGGGGATAACGGGAAGCTTACTTCTTGCTTCTCAGCTTCTCAGTTCTTCTTTCTGAATTTACAGTTCTTAGTTTTTTTTTCTTCTCTGTTTTCTGGTATTATTTCTCACTTTCCAGTTAACAGTTATCTGTTTTTAATTCACAGTCCTTGCTATAAGCTAAAGATGTTTTAACCCTTAATTATCACTTTTTACTATTCATTACTTAATTCTTTCTAATCTTTTAACCTTTTAATCAATTGTAAACATTGTTTTTTAAAAAA